AAACTAGACAGCACAGTGATATCTGGGAATGTGTAGGAACGTGGATTAATGTACTGAAAACCATACAAGTGCGCGCAAAAAAGTCGCAATTAAAATTGCATTAAAAATTAAACGAATAGTGTTTGTGTGGGTGTCCGCGATGCGGAAAGTTTCGTCTGTGCCAAATTGGCAAAAGTTAAATGATTAAATCGCCAAGTTTGCCGAATTATGTGAAAGTTTTAATTCGTAAACGAATACTTTGTTCCGGTAGTTGGCAGTGGAGGAAAACCAGCCCGAAAAAGGTAGAAATGTTGCTGAAAATTAAATTAAATTTTGATTTATCGCTGATTGGTTCCTGGTGGGTTGTTTGGCAGGCCATTTGAGTCCGCACACGAAAACAAGAACTCCCAGACGATTATGTATATATTTTCCACATAGGTACACTACAACACATAACTGTAGGTATATATGTATGTTCTGTACGGATCTGTGTAGTATTATGGGCCTCGGGGAGCACTTCCTGCCCTTGTCGCAGTTGTTACGTTTTCTCTATGCTTTTGCTCTCCAACTCACACAGACGGTCATCAAAAAGTCAACAAAAACAATATAAATTATGTTCGTGGAAAGGCCCAAGGAACAGGATGCTACAAAGCCTTGAATGGCTTTTTAGGTCCAATTGGAAATTGAAGTCGAACGAAAACTACATTTTTAAGCAAGAGCAATAAGTTATTAAATCAGTGTTGTAGTATTTTTGGTTACAATTTAAGTGTAATCCAATTATGCATTATGAATGATTTATGAATAAATGTAGATTTTAAATATTTGATCATACTTCTTGATGAAAAGCTACAAAGTTTTAAGATCAAGTTAAAAAAACAATATTAAAAGAAATTGATTTTCATGAATTGAAACATTTGTCAACAATATACAAGTTTAACATTTTTTTTACATTTTAAAATTATGTTTAATTTTTGGAAATACGAATATAAAACTTCCTGACAAACTTATTTTTAAATGTACCTATTAAAAAATGCTACGATCTTGGACAAATAAAACTTAGCAATTTGTTTATTTAAATTTTGCCATTGAAGTTTGTTTTAAACATTTTTAAGTTTTGGTTTCTCTAAATTTCTCACAGAAACGACGAATAGTTCGTATATGGTAGCATACTTTTACGGGCCACAGAGTCCGTAACTTTGATTTTGTGGGAATAGAAATCTGTACGGCCCAGCTGACTTTGGACCTAGTAAAAGACAAAAGCCAAACACACCCATATGTGTCTATATGTAGCCGAAAAATTGTAAAACTTTTATTACCTTAGAGCAGGACACTCTCCGAAGGGAAAACGGAAAGTGCTAAAATATATTGCACGTATGCACGTGCATGTGTGCCCGACTCTCTGAGAGTGTGTGTGTGTTTGTGATTTGTGTGCGTCTACGGGTCCTCTTTCGCTGTGTGTAACCTACATTTTAAACGGCATCGGCGACACATAAGAAGCCAAAAGCCGTGGCCCTAACCAAGTGGGCGGGAATCGGGGGGCGGCGAGGCTTTTCGGCATATATATGTAAATTTGCCTTTATCAGTGCCTAAAAGTAGGAGCCCACACACACGCACACGAGTGCAGTCTTATGTGTCCGCAAAGTCTTATGTACCGCTAGATTTAACGGTACTCTCTGGGGGCAGGCGCGCGGCTCTCTCTCTAACTTTCTCTTTTAAGAGACAGGGAGAGAATGAGAGAGCCGAGCTGCGGCGATGCAGAAATGCAGGATGATGTTTGCGTTCGTTGCTTCCGTTGCCGTTACTGTAAAACTGCCCCTCTCCCTCCCATCCCCTCTCAAGTCCTTGCACACACACACAGGAGCTCAAAGCGGTGCGTTCATTCACATCGCCGTTGCAAGTGTGTGCACTTAAAAAATTGGTTATTTTGGATTTAATTGAAGAAAAAAAGTAAGAAATATTAATATAAATAAACTAATACATAATATAGTGTTCAATTTATTTTGTACCTTATCAAAAATATGTTTCTTTTGGTATCTGATATGTCTTTACTCTTCAAGAAATCAGTTTTCCGTTCTTAGTTTTTAGTTAGTTTTATAACAGTTTTTAGTTTTTCATGTCGAAATATACATGTTATTGTTAACTAAAAATAATATTTATACCATAACAAGAGTTATTAAAAAGAGGGTAAGGTGTTTATTATGGTACTTGGTATTTATAGAACTCAATTATCAAAAGTTTTAAAATAAATATATTATTATAATAAAACGTATTTAAAATAGAAATTGGAAAATCGCTTTTTTTAGTGTATACCGTATACCGTGTCCACTAAGCCCCTGTCTATCTTTCCCTTCGCCTTACAATCCGTGACGCTTGTTATTGGACTTGCATTTCCGCTATTCGCCTCAGCCGGTGAAAATTTATATTCAAAGTGCTGGAGTGGCGGAATTGCATTATGCACATTTTAATGGTTCGCCGAGACATAAAAATATCTCGCACTTACATAAATTGCTCTGCTCTTTGCTAGTTACTCGCTCACTTTCTCCTAGTCCTTTCCTTCTGGCCCTCCGAAAAACCAACAGCTTTTAAACGTGTCTGTAATTACATAAACATTTTTCCCACCGCCAGGTTAGAAATATGCACGTATTTTTGTTTGCCAACTAAATGCCTTGTTAGAGAAATTTTCTTTCGAGTGCGGAAACTTTTAGTTTACCCTGCTTTCTCCCGCTGCGAAGGAATGGAAAATAAATTGCCCTCAAGGAAATGCAAATTGTTTTTCAAATTATACATTCCGCAAGGAGGAAGTTTATGTCTTTGTTGGGCGTTTAAGATTGTTATCAAAAAGTGAGCAATGGAAGATTCTAAAAAAGTTTGATGGATGGCCTGTTTAAGCCTGAAGATATCAGTTAAGATAGTAAATATCTGACAGAAATAATTGGTTTAATTTAATTTTATTGATTTGATTTTAATTAAAATCGGGCTTAAAAAAGGTTTTTCTTTGTTAGCTTTATCAGATTAACAATGAAAACATCTCACAACAAAACTTAATTTTCACAGAAAATCCCTACTAAGTTCCGAAAAGTCCAAAACAGATTTAACACGCGCCTTGCTACTTGAAATTTTCGTTGCAAAACATGTAAATGTCAAAAGCAGTATCTCCAATCTGACGATCTGCTTCTCAACCATTCCCATCAACGTCAGCACACCTACAATCAGCATATATCTGGCACTTGCCATCATCATCATCGTAAGTGCCAACAAGACCAACACCACCGACCGACGCCATCCTCGCCGTTATCATCCTCAGAGCCAAACACATATTCCATTATAATTCCCGCTGCTACGTCCCACTCGTATCCCACTTCTGGCTATTTTTATGCCATTTCTGCATTGTTCATTGTTTAGCGCACATTATCGCATTTTCCTCTTAAGGCATCAGCCACAGATATTACAGCAGCCATATCCTCCGCCTGCACCTTCCTTGGGTTCTATGTCAGCCCACCGTCAGCAATTGTAAATGGTGTTAGCAGAGTATATAATGCCATCCACGGGGATATACCCTTTAGATTCCTCTTAAAAGATTGGGGAGCTTAAAAAACGGAAAGATTTAAATGGAAAAATTAAAATAGATGATGTGTAAAATATGAATAAGTTAGGGAACATTTTTTTAAATGAAAACTAGTTAGTTTGCATCGCACATAAACAAAAATATTTTGTATAACAAAAGTTGTTCCCCCCTTCCTAACTTATTTTCATTATTTATTTATATTATACAAAATGTCCTTACCATGTACACTTTATAATTTATAAATGTTAGATTATCCAATATTTGTTTGAAACCTATATACAATCATTATTAATTCGAAAATTTCCCCCTCAAAAAATGAGAGTATCGAATCAAGGTTTCAAAGAAATCTGTTATGAAATACTAATATTTTTGAGGAGAGTTTTGAACTTACCTACCTCCCTGATGTTTGCCCAACGATTATTTATTAACCATTTCCTGGCGTGATATTATTTTTTATAAGGATGACCTATGATTCCCTGCGGAACCCACTAACCCGTCAATACCCTCTTCATCTGGGTTGGGTTGTAGGGGGGAAACTAAAACGATGATTCAGATTGTTGCCACACTTGGCTCACTAAGCTGCCGCAGCGGGTGTCATACTAGGATATGTGTGTGTGGCTATATCTGTATATGTTCTGCCACCAACACACTGACAGGCTGGTATCTCTCTCGGGCATACAAACACTTGGATGCGGAGTGGCTTTTATGTGCGCCGCAGTGCACTGGATACACGGGATTTCTGTTGGCAATGCCACTGCCAGAATGTCGGCTTTGAAATCGAAAACAAAGGACCCATTGTGGCAGCCGATGGCGGTGTCTGCTCCTCCCTTTTTGTTATCCTTTCGCCATTAAACAATTGTCGCCTGTGCGCATCAGTAATTAAGTGTCCCTGTGCATTTATGTGTATATGTATGGGGGCATAATTACTATTTATAGATGCTATTGGCTTTCGTCTAAGAACAACCAAAAAAGGGCCAAGCGCATTAATATGCAAATGCTAAACCCTAAAACTATGCTGCAAAAAGTAAAGATGGCTTAAAATTGTAAAATATACTTTACCTGTCTGCCACAAGGTTAAGCTTATAGGCTTGGGTGTTACAACCGCTTTTTTTATTGAGTTTAGTGCAAGATTTGTTTCTAACGTTTGAGTTTAATATATAAAGAAGGCTTAGATCTTGAATTAATCAAAAAAGTTATTGTAAAAATTTCATTTATGTTCCATGGCAAAATGTTGTAAGTTAAAGTTAATCTGGAATTTGTCTGGGACTACATCATTTCGAAATTTGTTGTGTAGATATTAAAATATTTTCTATAACTCTCATTAGAGTTTCGTTAGCCATACTTTTTTGTTGGAGAACCTTACGTTACTCCGAATTTAAGCTTTTTAACTATTTTAAACTGATATTAATGAAACTTTTTTTTAATAAGCCGGATGTCTAATGTGAGATAGGTTTCATTTATTAGTTCGGTTTACATTTCTTTTAAACTGTAACAACATTATAGCTTTGAATGGAATTCTTCTGGTTAACCGGTGCGCCTCCGTTTATTGGTGGCAGCATTGGTCTTCTTCTTGGCGACCACAGGTGAATTCTTCTTGGCGGCCACAGGTGTATTCTTCTTGGCGGCTACAGGTGTTTGCCTTTTGGCAGCGGCTTTCTTACGTTGGGGAGCAGCGGTGGTTCTTCTTGGAGCTACGGTGGTGCGCCTGCGCCGCCTATTCCGTCGAGCTGCGTTTTTCTTGGCATTGTTTGCCTTGGATGAAGGTGACTTGGCGGCCTCACCGGTGGAGGAGTTGTCCTCCGAGGCACTATCTTCAGAACTTTCCGGGGAAACTTCATCTGAAGTTTCATCTCCATCTGAAGTGTCATCACTGCTGTCCTGTACTGAACCAGAATCGGTGGGTGTGGATGAATCATCATCATAATAAGAATAATCTTCATCGGAGTAGTCGTAGTCGTAGCTGGTGTCATTAGCACCCGCCACATAGGCAACCATTATGGCCAGGCTTAATACCAGCAACAGCTTCATTTCAGCGAGAGTCAACGAACAGATAGGTAACCTTAAATACAAACTTCTGAGGTGAAAAGACTTTAACACTGGGTATTTATAGTTTTTTTCTTGTCAGAAGAAATATAAAAATATATAAAGCTTTTTTACATTTTTTTTATCTATGTACATACGGACAATGTACATATTTGTTTTTCAATTCATCTTTTTTGTTTTCGGTGGCTTAGAACACCTGTGTGTGCGCTATTTCATTGTATAACATTTTTGGGTTGCTGAAAGTGGATTTTAAGAAATTAAAAAATGAATTAGAATAAGGAAAACAAATATGGGAGCATTGAAAATGAGCCAAGGTTAAAGTACTACGGCTCAACCCTTTATTGTTTAAACTTTTTCATTTAAAAGAAGAAAACAATTAAGTAATATGACGCAATATAATTTGTTTGGATTTTTTATTTTTACATTGTTTTTATTTTCAACTTTTTGGTCTGTCCTCCCTAACCGCGACTTTGCCGCATTGCTAAATTTTAATGCATCTTGGCTCATCGAGCTCTCCCTCTGCTGACTCTTAAGGCTTCTAATTTGCCTATATTAAGAACTGCGAGCATCTTACACAATCCGTTTAGCCGCTAGGGCCATAAACATCAATGCCCGATAATATAAATTTACAAGAATTAATCTATATTAAATAAATTTAATATATTTGTTTAGTCTACTTTTAAATTTGTTCCAGACATTGGTTTCTATTTCAATGACCCCGCTTCAAGTATTCGAGTTTTTTTTTTGAATTGAAACATTGGTTATTAAATAAGACTTTTTAGCGAAAACTTTAATGTTACTGAGCAGTCGATTTTACTATTGTTTATGGATGAAATAAATACAATGGTCAATCAGGGAGTAAAACATGTATTTTTTTTATTATTAAAAGATGTCTAAAGACACCATTAATATTTTCATAATTTTTGAGTATGGTAATGTAAGTTGGATTTATCCGGAGCGCCTGCGCTTGTTGGCCACAGCATTTGTCCGCTTCTTGTTGGCGGCAACAGGTGCTCGCTTCCTAGACGCCTGTTTTTTGTTTTTCTTCGCAGCGCTGGCGTTACGTCGTTTGGGTGTTGACTTTTTCTTGTTATTTCTATTATTTTTGCGCCCGTTACCTCTCTTATTTTTTTTTGTTTTCGAAGCAGCAGGGGCTACCTCGTTTTCGGAGTCGTCATTATCAGAAGAACTGCCGTCATCAGAATCGTTTCCACTATCGGTATCAGTATTGCTTCCGGTATCGTCTTCAGCAGCTCCGTCGTCTACTGAAGTATTATCTTCGGAGTCATTTGTAGTATCTGCAGTATCATCTGCAGTATCATCGGCAGTATCATCGGCAGTATCATCGGCAGTATCATCGGCAGTGTCATCGGCAGTATCATCGGCAGTATCATCTACAGATTCGTCCTCAGAAGAGGAATTCTCACTAGTTTGTGCCACTGCCACGTGGGCGATGAATACAGCCAATGCCAGGACCAGTAGAAGTTTCATTTTCGTCTCTGGAAGATTTCGTGATCTAACTGAAGAAAGCACAACCTACTGGTTTTTATACTCGCCCCAGCATTTGTGTTTCATTTTCATAAATTAAGAGCAAATATTGTTAAATAAAATAAGTAAATACGCAAATGTTTCGTTAGTTTACTTTTCGCCAGCTGTGTATGACTTTTCTTGATTATCAATTTGTTTTAGAATTGGTGCATGATTGTGTTTAACCGTATGTGACCCGTAAAGTACTAATAAAATGCGCAATTTTCTTTGTAAGAAAAGGGTCTAAAGAAAAACTTCAAGTTGAGTGGATACCTCGTGTATTTCTCATATTTAACATTCATAAAGGCAATCATTTTTAAACGGTTAATATGGGTGACTATTTAATGTGCTGGCACGCATTGCTCAAATTACTTATGGTTATTTTGAGTACAAGCACAAATTTATATGTTTGACCTTTTCCGTGCAATTCCAGCTTTGGATAACGAGCCGAGGCGGGGCAGAAAGAAGACCCAGATTTGCAAAGTTCGTGCCATAAATCTGCTGTTTGCATGGAATTAATACTCAACTAGGAGGGGGAGGCCAAAGGAGGTGCTGCACATGCAACACACATTAGTGGGTCACTCGAAGATGATGACGCTGCTGACCGCAACCGCAGGAACAGCAAAAGCAAAAGCAAGAACAACCAGAGTCGTTTTGTGGCAGCGGGGGAAAATTATATAAAATTATCATGCAGGGCAGGCAGCTAGCTGGTTGGCCACTCGACAGCGGCAGGCGGGACAAGGCTGAACATCAGCAGAATCAGAAGCAAGAGCTAATGGCGACGTATACGTAATATGCGCCATGACGTATACGTAATGTGCACCGGGGTTTGGCCAATTTGTCCAAGCGAGCGAGAACCACTGAGCCAACGGAAACGAAAGCACGGACACAAAAACAGAAACCCGAGCTGCAAACTATAACTAAAACTGAAACTGTTAACGACGGCAACGAAACTTCTTGGCCAAATGGCGAAAGTTTTCAAACAATTGCGAATGTGTTGAGAAGACCGGCAGCCGGTGCAAAAATGACAAAATGGCGAAGTTAACGTTGCCCTGTCTACTGCGGCGATTGCAGCTGGTGGCGCTGCAATTGCAACTGCAACTGCAGCCACAACAACAACAACAGCAGCAGCAACAGCAACCTCCACACGGTTGCCACTTGATGACCATGCAACTGGGCCAGGCCGTGCTCCTCTACGGCTGCCTACTGCTGCTCCACGCCTCCGTATCCGCCTCTGTCCTGGCCTCGTCCTCGACGGACGCGGCTGTCCTTCCAGCACTGGCGAATCTCTCCACCACAGTGGACCTGGATGGATCGCCGACTCAGCAACAGCATGAGCTTCTCGAGAAACGCACGCGGAAGCGCGATGCCGCCAATGTGCCTGACGATGACGAATATGGCAGTTATCCGGACGATGTCGACGACTTGGAGGCCTTGCTTAATAATAAGTCAGGTGAGTGCCCTAATCATTGGCAAACGTCAGTTTTCAAACATCTCAATCAGTCTTTAGTTTCAAAGAACTTTTTATTGTTTAATTCTATTATTCTAATGGAAAAACTATTGAAAGCTATTTTAGTCTTATACATATCAAATATTAAGAAACATATAATTGTGATTTAGTGTTTTAACTTTGAAGTAACAAAAAAAAAATGTTTTTTAATTGAGAAAACTAAAATAATTTTTTTAAAGTGCTAAATAAAGAGATTTTGAAAATAAGGTCTGTTTGTTGGAGCACTTTTTAAAGTCAGTAAATCGAATTCGTACTTCTAACTTTTAGAAACTATTTATTGTTGTGCATTTAAACAATTTTAGTTCGTTTTAAATTGACTCCATTTTAAAAGAACTCAGACTAAATAACAATAAGAAGCTATAGGCTCTTCGAACAATCGCATTTCACCTAATTTTAAATTAACTGGGCACAAAGCGACCTTTATCGGTCTGAGCCCTTTTTGTATGCAAAACGGGTATCCCAACTTTCACGCTGAAAGTGTTCCAGCTTACTCAAAATGGGTAGTTTCGGAAAAAATTAATAGCTCTTCTCCTGACTGTTTATGTTTAATATTTTAATCATTTTGCCAATTTAATTTAGACCGGTTTTAATTTTTTTATGGAATTTAAAAAAAAGGGTACAGGTACTTTTTTGGTGAAAAATTATACAGCTTAAAATTGGCTTAAGTCTGGCTTGCAATGTTTTTTTGTCACTAAAAATAACTACACAAACTTTTTTGTGGAAAAGTTCTAAGAAAGTCGATTGTTTCAACTTACAGACCTCTCCCCTAAAAAATAAAATGAATGAATTTACATTTTATCACGAATTTTTGGAACTTGACATGATATAATATGATGCAAAATATTTTTAGTTATATATAAAAAGCCACAAATTCTGCCAAAATATAAATTCCCTGTAGTTTATAAATAAGAATATTTACTGCGAAAAACTTATCTGTACACGCCTTTGTGTAATCCCATTTCGAAAATGAATATTTGTGGCTGCAGCTGCAAACACAAATAAATGAAAACTGTGTTGATAATGCACTTGGCACAGGGCTGCGTTTCGTTAGTTTGCATTGACCTTTGGTCAGTGCGGAGTCCCAAACCGAAAACCCCAGAGAGGGTGATAGCCATAAATTGCACAACATCCACTCGCCACGCTGCTCCTTCGTTGTTGTTAAACTTTTATTTTTGGCCACCTGGCACTGCATCTGCCGCACAGCTGCAGGACTCGCATCCTGACTAAAGGACCATCATACCGTGCAGTATGATTCACGGACTCATCCATTTTATTTTGGTCATGATGCGGGAATTACAAAATACCGCAGCAAAGGATGGTGGCAAAGAGGAGGTCGTCGGGTTTAAGGAGTGTCAAAGAACAACCCAGTCCATGTGCAAGCATAAATTAATATGCGATTTTAATGGAATTGAAATAAATATTCTATTTAAATAAACAAATAAATAAATGGAAATTTCTCAACGGTGTTGTAAAGATAACATGGACTTAGGGTAATTGGCTTAACATAACTATTATCACAAATCAACACTTAACACTTGAAAATAAAATTTATTTATTACCCTGATCCAATTATTTGTGAAATTCATATGCAACCAGATAATGGCATTTAATATGTAGACACTTAAACTGTACACTCAAAAAAAAAACAGCCCGAAATCGCCATTAAATCAAGAAATTCGCCATGAATTTCAGTCGATGGCGATTTACCGTATTTTTTAGAAAGGAATTTTCTAAAATTTAGAAAAAAATTTCTGAAAAGCAGAAATACTTTTCTAAAATCAAGAAAAATTGCCATAAAATTGTGAAAAATTTCCTTAAATCCAGAAAGTACTTTTCTTGAAAATAGAATTTTTTTTCTTAAAATAAGAAATGACTTTCTTTATTTTCAGAAAATTTTATTTATTTTAATAAAATGTATACATATTTATTCTACTATTTTATTTCCTAAACAAGAAAGAGAAAAGAAAATAAAAAGGATGAAAAGAAAATTATTAATATTTCCTAAACAAAAAAGGAAAACAAAACAAAAAAAATAAAAATAAGATAATGAATATTTCCTAAAGAAAAAAGAGAAAAGAAAACAAAAAAAGATAAAAATTACATTTTAAATATTTCCTAAACAAAAAAGAGAAAAGAAAACAAAATAGATAAAAATTATTAATATTAATATTAAGTAGGTATTTAATATATTACCTATTATTAAAATTTACTTACTTACTGCCAAATTATCAACAATACCTGAAATTGAAATTATTCCTGCAATCGAAAATAAAAATTAATATTAGAGAAGGATGGTATTTGCGGCCTGCAATAGTATGCCCTATGCTTACCATAAATTTTCACACACTTACCAAATTTATATTTAAATTTATTTAAATTGCTTACCTATTAATTGCCTCTTAGAGGGATCGCACTTTAACTTTCTTAAATAGGCTCAACACAAACTTATTACTTTGAATGCTCATCCAAAACTGAGCACAAGGGTTCAAGATGCAGCGCAACGCAAGCAACCCTCTCGCGAGAGACTGCATTTCCAAAACAACAACGCAATAAAAGTTACAGCTACGCACAAGAAAATTCTCGATCATACGCACAAACACACATAAACATATACATACATACGCCACAAACTGTCGTCGCAACGCGCCGCGGACTAACCCCTTGTCTTCCTCTATTTCCTTTCGAAGAATGAGAAGCATAAAAGAAATACAAAAAGTTTTTCTTAAATCTATGGTGATTTTCTAATTCTACTTTTTTGTTTTCAAGAAAACATTTTTTTTTAATTCAGAAAAATTCTTAAAATTTACAAAAATTTACCGTATTTTTTATGGCGACTTTCTAGATTCTAGGAAGGGCTGAAGTACATTTTTTCTTAATTTAATGGCGAAATCGCCATTAATTTAGGAAAACTTTTGGAGAGCAAACTAGGAAAAAACACCATTGATTTAAGAAAAAAAATAATTTTTCTAAATTTTAGAAAGGTTTTTCATAAAATTCTGTTTTTATGGTCTTTTTTCCTAGATTCAAGAAAACCATTTCTAAAATTCAGAAAATTTTCTAAGATTAAGAAAAAATTTCATTTTATGGCGATTTTCTAAAATTTAGGAAAAAAAATTTTTTGAGTGTATAAATGACGTTTTCTCTGTGCCAAATTATTGTTCAAAAAATTGCAACTTACAAACATACAAAAGTAAAATTCCAACCAAACAGAATATATTTATTTCTAAAGTTAGCTCTGCGATGAATTCGTAACTTCGTTACGAAAGTTGATATCTGAATATTTGAATGTTGAAGGTGCAATTGTCACTAGTTTTTTCCCCATTTAGAGGTATTTTAGTTTTATTTAGTAAATAGTCACAAAATATATTCGAATGACAATCAATTTGCTTTAAATTAAATTGATTCATTAATTCTGACCCAACAATGGTTTTAAATTAATAACTTTGTTAGCCCATTTCTAAAGCTCAATAAGAAATTAAATTATTCGGCAGAGTTGTGTTCATTTTCATTGTCCCGGATTTATTTAATTTGCATTCTTTTATGCTTGGCTTAATTGTTAATGCAAATTGGCTTTGCGCATTGCAGCTAAGGGGAAATATATTGGAGCGCCGTGCAACGAGCTGAAGTGTGACGTCAAGCTGCTGCACGTGTCCTGCGACAAGGAGTCGCAAACCTGCAGCTGTGAACGCAATTATCCCGTGCAGCTCGGACTGATAAAGGGTTGCGCCAAACGTAAGTGGATAAGCTATAAGACAATGGCTCCCTTCAACTCCCACGCAATATAAACATAAATGTAATCCTCACTCGGCAGCTAAAAAACTGGGCGATCAGTGTTTCTACGATGAAACATGCATCTACAACGACGAGAACTCCCTTTGTGTTCAGGTGCGGCACAACGCGATGTGCCAATGTGCCAGCGGATTTCACTCCGTTAGCTATGTGAAGCCAACGCGCCGCGTCTTCTGCACTCCAGGTACGATATCTTACCAAAATAAATGTATAATAATAAATTGCTATAATTATGAGATAATAATATACGGGGGTGACACAGAAATCGAGCAGTGTGGCACCCACGATATAGGTATATTTATTGTTTAAGAACCTTTCATACAACCAACGCAATTTGTTTTTTTTGGTCTGTTTCAAAATATCCGATTGTGTACAAGGAATACGAGGTGTTACTCAAATCACCAAAGCCTATAGAAGTATTTCCATTTTTATTTAACTTAAACATCGATCCAAAGATTATAAGACACATAGATGGGACTTCTTACGTTCTAATACAATTTGTACTGGTATCTAACCTCAGGCTATATCTTTTACCTAAATACAATTCTCGTGGCAATTATCTCTGTCCACATTTAATCACAGATATAGTAGAAAAATGAAACACTGATTTTCAACAGAAATAAACAATATCTCTTTCCAGATCTCAGCGAACTGAGTTCGGATCTGCCCACTTTGCTGGGCGTCTCCACGGGCATAGCCGTACTGGCCGGTCTCATCTGCATGGTGCTGCATCTGTTCAGCAAAACGAAGTACCCGAGGCATCGAAATTACGGAGACGCCAGCATTCCGCCGCCTATTCTCTATTCCAGCGATACAGGTAAGCTGGACTTAAATCTTGATGCCCAAAAATATCATTTATACATTTATATTTGCTTGGAATTTTTATTTACCATTATTGTAATTACTTATGAGTACAAATTTTACAAAGCACAAGGATAATTGTCAAAAATAGTTTTAGGTTTTTCTATTGTATTTCAATATTTAACTTTCCTTGTGGTTTTTGGTTCTCCTGAAATACTCTCTCTGACTTACTGATCGATTGCCTTGATTTCAGGGATTCCGCTCACCGTTCACTCGGCGCGTCCGTCGTCGCGTTCCAGCATCCGGTCGACGGGATCGATTGGATCCTACGGCAACCGACGTGCCTCGTCCGGCGGACTGGGCGGGGGAGCCGCCGGAGGAGGCGTGGCAGGCGGGGCCGGCGGAGGAGGCGCGGCAGGAAGCGGCTCGAAGGGCATCCTGGTGTCGACGTCTCGAACAGGTGCGGCTAGATCGGCCGCCATATTGCTCATATCGTGTCACATAGCGGCGGTGTCCAAACAGAATTCCCGGGCCTCGTCGCGGCACACATCCGGAGCGGGCTGCAGCCAGCATTCCCGGGACGATCTCGATGAAGGTGGTGGCGGAGGTGGAGGTGGCGGTGGGAGTGGGAGCGGGTGCCGCAGCTGCGAGAGCACGGTCTCGATGAACCGCCAACTGCAGAAGCAACTGAACCACCAGCGGCATCTGCTCAGCTTCGAGCTGTCGCCGGCGAGGTCGCGGAATCAGGATAGATTTAGGACATTGTTGGGCATGAATGGCATTGACAATTTTGGGGGCAATGAGGATGAGGACGATGAGTGCGGGCCGCATAGCATAGATCCCAGCACAACAGTCCCTCATGCACATGCCCATGTCCATGCCCACGATAGCGATCCGGCTGATCCTGGTGGTGGTGGCTTCGGCTACGGCTTCGGCTATGGTGTGGCTGGTGGTTACGGCGATGCCGACACCAATGGCGGCGACTCCAGCGGCGGATTCGCCACTGGCGCCGAGCTGCATCACCTGCAAATTGGCGCACTGCCCACGCCGGCGAGTGAAACGCCACGATTTGCGGTAAATCAACTCAAACATCAGTCATCCCGCATCCATTGTTCGATCGTGTGGTCTGCTCATCCCCATTCGCATTCCGTATCCACCAAGTCCACCCCAAACAGTTCTACATTACAACAGAAACAAGTTCGACTATTTGCTAAATCGTATCTGTTCAATCGTTGCATCCTCTCCCGGTTAGAGATACTTTAAAGTGCTAGCCCTTATAGTTTGTATTGTATTTCTTATATCTGTTCATTCCGAAAATCTATCCGTCTTTAGGTACAACATTTAAAATGTTAAGAATTATGGTTTAAACGCCCAGTTACCAAAAGACTGCCATAAATTGTTATTCATTATTTTACTTTTACCACCCTCTTTTATTCATAACTAATTTTTTACCAGTAAGTTTTTTCTTTATGAAAATGCTAGTGAAATTCATTATAGAAATTAACTAAATCAGTTGGATAAAAAACTCGGTTTTTTGCTCAAATGTTTTGTGTTCATTAACATGACCTAATTTAATACTTTTTTCAGAACTTAATAATAATTTTACAAATGTCGAGTCAAAGTCCTCCCCCGCATAATTATCAGACTCTGTGTGAAAAACATGACTCATGAGCCATAATTAAATCTCGCAAATTGAGTTATTCATGCAATCTCATATCGTTAATTCAGCTCAGTTTACTTACAGTTGAAACTTAATTTGTGTACATTGGCGTTGGTTATCCTTACTCCCCTGCTTGTCTATTTAGTGTTTAAATTGCCAACTCTGTCTAGTTAAAAACGATAAACAACAAACAATTTTTGCGTTTTCTTGATGATCGATGTTAAATGTGCTCCCGAGCTCCCTCTGTTTCCAAATAAAAAGTTGTTACATTGTTTTACTTTCTCTATCGTTACCAAAACACACACAGAACACAACGCAACACACGCGCACTAAGCCACGAAATAATTTTTGAGATTCTATTGAAACTATATAAGTGATAACACCAATAAATAACTGAGAGGACAATTAAAGCATCTGATATATGAATAATGATTGTTAGAAACCACATATTTTAAGGATGATGACATATACATTTCGACAAGATGATATTGAAGCAATATGGCGGTGACTATGTTCAAAGAAAATCCTCCCCAACTTACACAAAAAACAAAATAATAATATAGCATAACCGTACACGATTTTCTAGCTAATATATTCAACTAATGCAAATTAAGAAAATTATGCCACACACTTACATAGACACAGTAACACACACAATTGCAATTGCATGCATCCTGCCAGCAGCAAAGGACACTTGTCTGCCGGCAGGATTCTTTACGCCACTCAACCTCCTGACAGGCTGACCTTTGCCTGAACTTATTCGGTTGAGTCCCCAAAGTATCCACACCCTGACACACTCACTCACACACACCCGAATCGATAAACGATATGAAAATTTTCTTCTATATATGTTAATCCCGCAACTTTATATGTGAATGTCCTTCGCTTCTCGTTCTTCTTCTTCTACTTTTCTTCCTGTGCGCCTTGAATTTTCAACTAAAGATGACTGCATTTTGAAACAAACAAACTTTTCATGTATAAAGTTTCTGTTTATCTTCATTCTTATCCCATAGACTGGTTAAAGTTTTGATTATTATACGTCAGCATTTTGTGACTAGATCTAGGTCAATGGTCGTGATTGTACCACTTGGCGTATGAGTGATGTTTACATATACATTTAATACAAGAAAGTGGCAGGATCTTCATTAAAACACTTTGTATTTTTTAACTAAAAAAACAACTAACATATTTTAAATCATTTACGGGTTCCTTATAAAGTTAACGAACTAAAAGAAGATAATAAATGGGGAACAGCACTTAACTCATAATACATAAGATGTAAGATACATAAGGACAGTAAGAGATATGAAAAGGGGTCACAATTTTACTTAATAAAACGACCAAAATGGGAAGCCTATATTTTAAAGATTTCTATTAAAGGGTCTTCAGCTGCTCGCACTCGCTTAGTTTGCTTTCCAATCGCTTCGGAATGATCTTTCGCTGTGGCTATGCATCTCTGTCTACTTTCTTTCACATATATCTTACTACTATCTTTCTGTCCGCCGTTTCTTCTAACCAAAACGCTTCGATACTCACTCAGTTTTGATACAGCAACCCCATCCGAATATCCCATTCCGAATCACCTGGCTGACACCTGTATTTCGGTTGCTTCGATTTTAGGTTCTCGAAGACCAAGTCTAGCGTCGGTGCACAGCACCAGTTCCTCGGTGCGCAGCTACAGCATGATGCGCTTCGAGAAGGAGACGCAACAGAAGGAAATCCGTCAGGAGATGAAGTTGCGACTGGCCCGCTTGCAGCAGCAGCAGCATCTTACACAGAACAAGCCACAGATCGTCATCGGCGAGGCGTTGATGCAACACGGCGCCCTCAGTCGCGTCACCATGGCCACGCCCAGTCCCCTAACGCCCAACTCACTGGACGAGCTGCTGCCGTCGCTGGATGAAAATCAGGAGGTGAGTTACGATCCTTTGGTGTAGAAAGTAATCATTTGTTTAATAAATTCATCTCTTGCTAAAGAATTCGCCGAATGAGTTAAATACTGATTTAAAAAAAGGATTATTTGAAAAATGAAAAAAAAATAGGCGAAGTGATGGCCGTGCTGAAGAATTCGCGTATAAAGTTTGATCGATTTGAACCCCTCATTCGGCTTAACTCGTTTGTGGAATTGGCAACAAATAATGTATAGTTCAAATGTAATTTTGGTATATCAAGATCTTCCGTCCACCTCAATCCATCTTTATCCACAGTATCCTCCCAGACTGGAGACGACGTTGAAGCAGTTCATACAGCCTCAGGTTGGAGGAGCAGGTTCCTCCGGAGCTGGAGCCGCCTTGAGGGCAGCTGCTTCCCAATCATCCCCGGGCAGTTCGAATGGATATCACGGCCCCTGCAGCTCTTCGACTGAGGCCCTCTAAAGTTAGTTCGTGCATAAGTAGGCCCAAGTTTAAATTAGCTCGTAAGTAATCAAAAATGTATCATCTAAGTAATCTGCGTAGTAGGCAAGGAGTTGCGTTATGAGCCCGTTGCTAATTAAATTGAATTCAAATTGAACGTCAAACGTGTTGTAGTCAGCTTAGATTATGTGTAACATAGTAAGTAACCCAACTAGGTTAAGCCTAGAACTAATTCTAAGTCATAAGTGAGTTCCCAAATTAGACAGCCTTTGTGTGTATCATAATACGTAGGAGCTAGTCGAAACATTTTGTACGTGTGTGTATATTGTCATACAATTTTTGTAGAAGTTATACAAGCGAGAATCCAGCTATTGACAAAGAGCAGGCTGGGCCAAGTGGAAGGGGTTCCGAAAATTGGTGCTGACCGATTAGAATCGCTGATGAAGAATTGATAAGCCACTTGGCCTTTCACTTATGTAGATCAACATGAATTGATTAGCTTAAATTAGTCTAGTGTTTATCGTTAGCGTGAGATAGTACTGATAAAATATACGCAAGATGAATTTATACAAAATCGGTTTATACAACAGTAGTTTCTTGTACATTGTACTCATAATGACAACTGTATCGGAATATGCCAGATTGTTCTAGCTAAATCAATAATTATGTTAAGCCATCGCCACGAAATAAATCAAAAAGTGTTAATATATCAAGTTAGGACAATTTAAGTGAGCGACGAAGAGGTATTTTGTTCTTTGTAGGAATAGAAATCTTTAACGCACATTCCTATTGCTGGAGGTGCAAAGTCAATTTTAGTTTACGACTTACGAATTTTTCTACAGAGGCGTTTCAAGTGAATACAATAATCGAAAATGTGTAGATCAAATGTACATTACTTACTCGATGGTAATATTATTTAATATTTGATACCAAGGTTGTTGACTGTAGTTGATGTTCTCTACATCGTTTGGTTCCATGATTTATTGTATCCTATCTATAGATCCGTTCTCAATAGTACGAAATACAGCAGCTATTCAAAAATCGTTACATATACACCTATACAAGCATATACATAAGTGTATGCATATTTGTACTTAACTATGCTATACATACGATGAGTAGACACATATCTGGAGTTCAGTGTTGGTTGATGTTGGGAGTAAATAGAAATAAATGCAATTTTGTGTTTTCAACAACCCATGGCCTTTTACTTCTTTCAGATCGTAATGGATTTGATCAATACTTCAGGTGGAAGATACTCTTCAGTAGAAAAATCTTTTCGGGATGTAGAAAAATAAAATGTATTTACACGAGAAATTTATTTTTATTTTGACCTATAAGGGATTCAAAAAATTGGCTAAATTTGGATGGGATTTTTCGAGTTTCTAGGGATAACAAACAAATTTGAAATCAACTGGAGGAACCGAACAGGAAGTGGTCCACTCTGTTTTCAATTTATTAATCCACCTCCTCGATGGTGGGACCAGATCCCCCAGATGCCCCCGGATTCGAGCCGCCGGTTGGAGGCGGAGGTGGAGCCATTCCAGCGCCCTGATAAAGCCGCGTGATGATCGGGCTGCAAATCCTCTCCAGCTCCTGCTGCTTGTGCTCGAACTCCTGCCGTTCTGCCAGTTGATTGGCGTCCAACCAGGAAATTGTCTCGCTGGAGTGCTGCTGAATGGTCTCCCGATCCGCAGGACTGATGCGGCTGCGCAGCTGGTCATCGTCCAGGGTGGAGCGCAGCTGGAAGCAATAGGACTCCAGCTGGTTCTTGGCGTTGATCCGGTCTCGCTGCTGCTCATCCGCCTGCCGGTAAGCCTCCGCATCGTTGACCATCCGCTCGATGTCCTCCTTGGAGAGACGCCCCTTGTCGTTGGTGATGGTGATGCGGTTCTCCTTGCCCGTCGACTTCTCCAGCGCCGTCACGTTGAGTATGCCGTTGGCGTCGATGTCAAAGGTCACCTCCACCTGGGGCACTCCACGGGGAGCCGGCGGAATAGCCGACAGCTCGAATTTGCCCAGGCTGTTGTTGTCCCGCGTCATTGCCCGCTCACCCTCGAACACCTGGATGAGCACACCCGGCTGGTTGTCCGCGTAGGTGGTGAAGATCTGCGTCTGCTTGGTCGGTATGGTGGTGTTCCTTTTGATCAGCGTCGTCATCACTCCGCCAGCGGTCTCAATGCCCAGCGACAGAGGCGTCACGTCCAGCAGGAGCAGATCCTGCACAGCCTCCGACTTGTCGCCATGGAGGATTGCCGCCTGCACGGCGGCTCCATAGGCCACCGCCTCGTCGGGATTGATCGACTTGTTCAGCTCCTTGCCGTTGAAGAAGTCCTGCAGCAGGCGCTGAACCTTGGGAATCCTGGTGGAGCCCCCAACCAGGACGATATCGTGGATCTGGCCCTTGTCCATCTTGGCGTCGCGCAGAGCCTTGGCCACCGGCTCCATGGTGCCCCGGAACAGATCCCCGTTCAGCTCCTCGAAGCGGGCCCGAGTCACCGAAGTGTAGAAGTCCACGCCCTCGAAGAGCGAGTCGATCTCGATGCTGGCCTGCGTGGACGAGGAGAGGGTGCGCTTGGCCCTTTCGCAGGCGGTGCGCAGGCGCCGCAATGCCCGCTTGTTCTGGCCCAGATCCCGCTTGTGCTTGCGCTGGAACTCCTGCACGAAGTGGTTCACCAGCCGGTTGTCGAAGTCCTCGCCACCGAGATGGGTGTCGCCGGCGGTGGCCTTCACCTCGAAGATCCCGTCTTCGATGGTCAGCACCGAAACGTCGAAGGTTCCGCCGCCCAGGTCAAAGATCAGGACATTCCGCTCGCTGGTGCCCTGCTTGTCCAGTCCGTAGGCTATGGCCGCCGCCGTCGGCTCGTTGATGATGCGCAGGACATTCAATCCCGCGATGGCACCCGCGTCCTTGGTCGCCTGCCGCTGGGAGTCGTTGAAGTAGGCCGGCACGGTGACCACTGCATCCGTTACAGAGCCGCCCAGGTAGGCCTCCGCCGTCTCGCGCATTTTGGTCAGCACCATCGAGGACACCTCCTCCGGATAGAAGCTCTTCCGCTCGCCCTTGTACTCCACCCGGATGCGGGGCTTTCCGTTCTCGGCGAAGACCTCGAAGGGCCAGTGCTTCATGTCCGACTGGACGGTGGCGTCGTCGAAGCGGCGACCAATCAGCCGCTTGGCATCTGCAAGTCAGAATCACTCGGTCAGAATCCAATGAAACAACATCGGCGCACTTGGACAACAGATTCGCTTTATTAGCTAACATTTAGGGGGTGGCATTTAGGGAGGGTGTGTGGTGTTGAGTCTGGTAATTGGATTTGTATTGTGTGTCTGGGCAGGTCTAGGCTTTCTAGGCTTTCTAGGCGGATTTCTATGCGGACCCTGAGACTGAAATGAAAGTACAAAAAGAGAAAGAAGACTTGCATTAGATCTGCTCAGCAAATCTCTCGGATGGCAGCATGGAAATGGGTGCAGAAAGGACTAAAAACGGATGCTGAATAGCTGTTTACAAAGATGCTGATATAACTTGTTATTGGAAAGAAGAACTCTATTAAAGGGATTACCAAATCTTTAAGTTCCTCTCTCAGTGTTGCTCGAAAATCCAAGTGTTTTACGATCATATTCATGGACTATTGACTAAATTTCTGTCATCCCAAAAAATACACTTTTTTTTTATAACCTACACTCAAAAAAAAATTTTAGAAAATCGCCTATGGATTTGCTTTACTGGCGATTTTTTTCTATATTTCTGGAATATTTCTTGAATTTAATGAATTTTGATTAATTGGAAGAAAATTTTCTTTACCAGTAGAAAATTTTTTTATTTTAAAGAAAAAAATCGCCAGTGAAGCAAATCCATAGGCGATTTTCTAAAATTCAGGGCGATTCATTTTCTGAGTGTACTCTATCTGAATTCTTGAAATTAATGTTTAAATATCAATAGTACAAAAATCTTTGGTTTGAAGATATGTAGATTTTTCTAATTATTATATCCATCCATGCTGCCATCACTCAGCTTGAAAAACAGGACAGGTAAGCCAAAAAAAACAGGGAAAAAAGGATAAAAAATTTAAAATAGGACAAAAAAAAGGACAAAAGTAAATGCGCCTCCATTTTTGTTTTTACCAATGGGTTATATATTTACTTATATTAAATGGATTTTATATTAAATTCAATTATATAAAGATCTACTGCGCCCGACTTACAACCTTCTTTGTTTGATCATTTTACCATGGTAAATTTTTGTGCGTATACGTAATAATCTAAAATTATTAAAATAATAAAAGCATTTCAAGTAACTATATTGGTAATACAAAAAAATTCAATATCTGCGTCAAACCCGAATAAGAGTCGTTCAAATCTGAAATTTTTTCTAACAAAAAAGCAGGGCGTAAAAATTTAGCAATTTTTTGGTACAGAAAAAAATGTACTATAAAGAAAATTCATCGACTGCTTTACGTCTCTTTGATAATTTGTATAAGAAATTATTTTTTAAGTGCCGAGCTGTAAGAATGATGGTTAAAAAGGCGTTTTAGCATATGATAACAGGTTTATACACTTTCGACTAGCAAAAATAACCTTATCTTTAAAAAAAGGAAAGATTTCCGGATAGGGGATGTTTAAAATTTTTTCCGGATAAAGCCGTTAAAAAAAGGACAGATCTGTCCGGAAAGAGGACAAAATGGCAGCACTGATTATATCATTCCTTTAGAAGCTTCGACTTTCAGAAAACATAATAGAGAAATTTCTGCGACATTCCGCAGCCAGCATGAAAAATATTTATGCGAAAGCAAACGCTTCTGACAATCCATAACAACTTGCACTGAGACTTATTTTCATTATTTTAGCCGACACAAATGATGCCAATAAACATGGCAACCGTTTTTGTTGGCACGGACCGAACTTGGATGCCATTGGGAGGACGGGGAGCCGCATCATCAAAGAGGCCGCAAGAACTGACACAACAAGTGGAGGTGTCACTAGACCAGATTGATGGTGGGAAAACCGGAGGGGATGGGTGTAGACTTCAGTGGGAGGGAAGACTCTCTCGCAATTGGGAGGAAAATCGTTCGGCTGAGATGCGACTGCATTTTGGCGCCAGCGAGTGAGAATTTCTTTAAATAAACCCAAAGCGAGATAATAAACAAAATGTGCGCACAGTTCATTCATGAAAATGTTGCCAGTAATTAAATGAGATCGCTGCGAGTCCCAGGCAGAGATTGCAAGGCAAGGACACTGTGGACATGGGACTCACCGAAAATCGTGTTGTTGGGATTCATGGCCACCTGGTTCTTGGCCGCATCGCCGATCAGACGCTCCGACTCCGTGAACGCCACATAGCTGGGCGTGGTGCGATTGCCCTGGTCGTTGGCGATGATCTCCACCTTGCCATGCTGAAAGACGCCGACACACGAGTACGTGGTACCAAGATCAATGCCAACCGCTGGTAATTTGGGCATCTCGGCTGTGGCTTTAATTAGACCCCACCACCACGTCAAGGTCCCACAGAGAGATCGAGAACGAGGCGAGGCGAGACGAATCGGATTCGGAATCGAAAATGAAATTAAAATCACAGTCTCCCCTTTTGGGCTGATTACACAACGGAGTCGATCCTCACCCAAATCCCCCAGGCAGTCAGCGCTAGTCCTTTAGAATGCGAAGCGATAGAGGTACAGGGAGATGATCAGGAACAGCAGCACGAAGGTCAAGACTCGGAAGAATTCGAGCGCCTTCTCTCTTTGCAGCTCCACAGCGTCTTCCGTTTATCCTCACGTTGCCACAATGAAATCCAATTCCAATCCTGCTCCCGACCTTGCTTTGTGGGGGGTTCTCTTGAGGATTTCTCGAGGATTTCTCGCTGGGAGATTGCAAGATGCACGCGCCACGAATGCCACCAGACAACTGGCGGGCCGAGTGTTGCGACAACCGATCCCTTGCCAAAATCGTTCGATCATCGACGATGCTCATGCTCTGCAACATAACATCGGTGCTATTCGGTTCTGGGATCGATTAAGATGTCTTACCTGGCAATAAGTTGATCTACATCTAGTAATAATCTAAAAAATCGAAGCTATGCTGAGGAGATTTATCTTTGTGCGGCGAAGACCTACGTCACCTTAAGACAAAAATAAAATGATTAATTAGAAAAATTAATCTCTTAAGCCTGGTACTCAGAGACCAAAGAAAATGCTCAAACAGAGAAACTAAAGAAATTCTAAATAAAACAAGAAAGGAAGCTAAATTCGGCCAGCCGAAGCTTATATACCCTTGCAGATCATTCCTATTAATTAACAAATCGCAAAAATGTTCAATTTTCTAATATTTCTCATTAATTTTCCGATCGTTCCTATGGCAGCTATATGATATAGTCGTCCGATTTTGATCAAATTAAAATTAAAATTCGAAAATATTTAAAAAGAGTTATATCCTAGAGTAGAAGATAATACAATAAAAACCAAAGAAGCTAGAATGTATTTCCTATTACTTTTCCATTAATTTTCCGATCGTTCCTATGGCAGCTATATGATATAGTAGTCCGATTTTTTAAATAATTAATTCGAAATTCAGAAATATTTAAAAAATAACATCCCCAAAAGTAGAAGGTAATATTTCAAAAAACACCGAAGCTAGAATTTTTTGAAGTTTTTTTCTTCCGATCCTTCCTATGGGAGCTATAAGATATAGTTGTCCGATCCGGTCGGCTCCGACATATATACTACCTGCAATAGAAAGAAGACTTTTGCGAAAGTTTCGTCCCGATAGCTCAAAAACTGAGAGACTAGTTTGCGTAGAAACAGACAGACGGACAGACGGTCAGACGGACAGACGGACAGACGGACGGACAGACGGACAGACGGACATGGCTAGATCGACTCGTCTTGTGATGCTGATCAAGAATATATATACTTTATGGGGTCGGAAACGTCTCCTTCACTGCGTTGAAAACTTCTGACTGAAATCATAATACCCTCTGCAAGGGTATAAACAGAAAATTCATATTGTGTTTGGTATTTAAGTACTTTTGTTCTAAATTAATATATTGGTCTTGGGATACCCTTCCATTTTATATTGTTTGTGCAATTAATCAGCAATAAGCAATTTGAATCGCTGCTTTTATAATAGTGAATAATTCAAAGCATTTTTTAAAGGAAGATTTATAAAGGTAAACTTAATTTTCTTAAAAAAAAACTTAAGAACCTTTACAACAGATACATACATATTAAGTTTAATTTTAAAATAATTTCCGCATTTACAGCTGCCAATAAAAAAATGTTAAAAGCTAATAAAGCCAGTCAAAGTCAAGGTTGTACATCGAGCTAAGAATTGATCTATTACCACAGACTCTGCAGGTTGCGACCTTGCAAACAGATGTTTTCGATGTTTGTTTGCATACAGCACAAAACTTACATCCAGAAATTAAGGTATAAATACTCCATCTGAGTGCCATAGAATCATTAACGGTTTTGAAATCGGTCCATTTAGACATAATCAGCATGAAATACTTTGTCATCTGTGCGCTCGCAGCTTTCGTCCTTCTTCAGGCTGCATCGGGTTTCAAGCGAGTTGTCTACGTGGTGCCGGCATCAACTACCAATACGACTGAGCCAGCTACTTCAACAAATTCCACAGCCTCAGCCTCTACAAACTCGACGGCCTCAGCGAACACTACGACTGTCGTGGTTCACAAGATAGTCTACTGCTCCTGGAAGAACAACTGGTGCCGTCCCACTTCGAATACCGTGAAGATCTGCAAGTGGGGAGCCTGCCAGCTCTACGGCTAGAAGTCAATAAATAAACGTTGATCATGTTTTAGCACAAATCTCTTGGGTTTTATTTGAAAGTCTCGCTTGGTCAAAAAAGAGACTTGCTGGAACGGTTTCATTCTTAACTTGATACTGGGAAAACCACACGTTATAAGGCTCATATGAAAGCGTTAGCAAAAATAATAATCCATTCTAGTCTTAGTGGCTAACTAAATTCGATTCATGCAAATCATCGCCTAATCGGGTTAAAGCTTAACAGGTTAGCGCTAGGATACAAAGTAGAGGCTTGGTTGGGGTTAGTTTGTGAATATTAGTCAGTTGATGAGGGTGAAACAATACTTGACCCTGCAAAAGGGCCTTTACAGATTAAACTAATTCTACTCTAGGGTTAAACAATGCCGACTAAACTTAACTTAGGATATGCATACGTGATGGACAAAAGCTTCTTTAGATTGAAGATTTTTAGGATTATACTTTTCGCACAATGCGGCATAGTTTTATTAAGAAAATGTTCGTTGGTAACTAACAAAAAATTAGTTTCACTTTTCAATTTGGCAACATAAAAATGAAAAAAAATGTATGTCTTCCGATGGTTTACAAAACTGTATATATTATGTTCATATATAGCACATAAGTAGAGCCGAAATTTTGACGTTTCTTTAGGATACAATGGAAATAGTAATATACTCTGCACCTCAAGAAATTACGAGTATGATAATTTTCGATTTGGAGCTAGTATTAGCAAAATATAAACAGGTCATAAACCTTCTGGTCTAAGTATCTGATGAGACAATGAATATTGCTATCGTTTATTTTTTTTTTGTATTTGTATGTATATGCGATAATATTATATAATATTGTAAGTTCGATTTTTAACACGTTTCTCAATACTCTTATCAGTTACTATCAATTTTAGTTTGGTTTCTTTCGTTCTTTTTTGTGGTTTCGTGGCCACTGAGCAGATCTTATTGTATATTTTTTTAATCAGTATTATGTATTCGATTTGCTTGCTTGATTTTCCGCATCACTCGGTGCGTCCACAAATATAACGTTCGTAGAATTTTTGCATAGCTTTTACAAAAATATACAGTTATTATCATTTCTCGCTTAAGTCTCCTCTTCCTTTTTCCCTCAATCATTTGTATTATTATGATTCGTAAGGCAAAGTTCGTGTTTATGTATTTGTTCTATATATAAATGTATGGGGTTCTTAGGAGTGCCTAATTGTTTTACAAGTCGCCAAGTTCTCTGTTTTCGTTTCTGTATCGTTCAACTAAATGCATAATTTGTCGTAATATTAATTCATAAACATAGTCGCTAGTGCCTCGAAATCACTAGGCAAGTGAAGCTTGAAGGCAGGCATGATAAACACATAAAGAGAGCTAAACACAAAGTACAAAAATGATAGACTATTTTACGGATAACATGGAAATTCGGTTCAGGCGGGGGATGTGACATAGGCGTACAATCGGCGACGGGAAAAGTGATCCGCCCTCAGCGCCTCACAATGCTAGATGGTCTTGGCAGACCGCTGCGCTTCATTTGCGAGGGTGGCCGCAAACCCGACGGCTTCGGTATGCCAGTGGCTCCCGTGGTCACCTGGGTAAGCTTGGAGGAGAGCGCCTGTATGTCGAAAGTGTTCTGGTGATTCTGCTGAGGAACATTTCCGCCGTTTAACGGTCTGCTAGAGTCCTTGTGGCCATAGAGACTGCCACGCGAAGATGCCGAGGAGAGGCTCTGTAATATTTAGCAAAGAAATTAGCACGATTTTAAAATGAGTCAGGTATTTAATGATGGACCAACCTCAGGAGTTTCCGCCTCTGGAGCTGTTTTAACACTCAGACTGTAATATCCAGACGATGGGCGTGCCAGTCCATTTGCGCCTGCCCGTTTCGCACCAGCAAGACCAGGAGCTCGCAGTCCGCTTACTAATTTGGGCACTTTAAACACAGCAGAGTCATCCTAGAAAGTTAAAGAGTAATTATTATATTATATTATTATAATCATTTGTAAATAATTTCCTACTCACCTCTTGGTTCTGCGTTGTCCCGCGCATTCCGCCCATCAGCTTGCTGGGCTGCGCACCCGGTCGACGTAGTCCGCCTCCCAAACTGGGTCTTGGCAGGGCTCCAGCACCAATGCCGCTCATCGTGGAGGACAAATTGTGGAACGACTTGGACTTAATGCCCATGGGACTCTTCAACTCACCGCTACCAGTGGCCGGCACTGTGACAGTGGTTGGCATGGTAGCGGCGGGCGTGGAGTTTAATCCCGCTCCTGCGGATGTGGCCTTGCTCACCGTGGTAAACTTCTGCAGACCACTGATGTAACGCGGCCGGGAGAGGGAGCGCGGCTGGGGAAGAGTCGACGCAGGCGCTGGTTCTGCCGGTGGTGGGGCTTCCTGCTGCAGCGGTCGTCGTTGGAGCAGGCTCTTTTCCTTGGGCTTCTTGTAGGTCAAATAGTTACTTGCACTACCCTCTGCTTGGTTCAATACGCTGTTCTGATCTCGACGGGAAAGACGACCTGGTGGAGATCCCTGCCGCCGCTGCTCCTCCTCGGGCTGCACCTCTTCCACGAACTCCTGTTCCTGCTCCTCGAGCTGCTGCTGTGGTTCATCGTCTATACAAGGCACAATAATCTCTTGCTGCAGTCGCATCTCCTTTGAAATCTTAATTGTCTTGAAGCGATCGCGATCCCGCTCCCTTCGCTCCGGCAGCTTGTAGCTGGACGGGTCAGTCTCTGCAGCCGCCTGGCTCTTCGGAGGCTCCTCCGCCGGCTCGGGATCGGGTTCGGGTACTGGCTGCTCCATGTGTGGCATATCCCTCCGCTGGACGATGAATGAGGCAGAGCTGCCGCTGGCCGAGCTGGCATTGCTGCCGTGCATGGCACTCAGGTTGACATCGTCGTAGAGGCGACTTCGTCGACTGAGCAGCCGTTCGCCACCACTACCGCCACCGCTGCTGTTGCTGCTGGAGTGGCTCTGATTTAGAACCGGGTTATCCACCTTCGGGGCCGCCGACTGTGGCTGCTCCTCTTCCCGTTCCTCTGACTCCGGCTCATCCCTGTGGAAGCGCCGCTTGATGGTGTCCAACGACTTTTGCATCTTCAATTGCTCCTCGTTCAGCGTGTTGACCTTGCCCAACTCGGAGAGCATATGCTCGAATTGCTCCTCGTCGCCCTGCTGGGCCAACATCTCAACCTCCGCCTCGGCCAGGTCCATGACGCACTGCATCTGCTTGTGCTGCTCGGACATTTGCAGGCTGTAGGTGCCATCCAGCGGCTGTTCGATCTGCTCCAAGAGCTCCATGGTGTCCAGCACGAACTTCTCGCCATTGAATGGAGCTGTCTTGGCCGCGGGCTCGAAGGTGTTGTTGAGTCGTCCTGGAGCTGCACCCATTGGCTTTTGCGGCGTAGCGCCAACAATCGGGGACAGGTTCATGTCTCCACGGCCTTTCAGGGTAGGCGTATATCCCGTCTTGTTATTATTATTATTGTTGTTGTTGTGGTAGCAGTGGGAGCGTATGTTCGTGGTCAGCGGAGTGGAGGATTCCATGGTGAGCAGGGCCAGCTTTCGGTCGATATTCTCGGGCGTTTCGCAGCGGCCCTCGGGAGTATTGCAACCTTCGGTAAATGTGGCATTCATCTGCCGTCCTGTCAGCACCTGCGTCTCGTCAGCCTGAGCAGCACCCGCATTGGGCCTTTTGAAGGTCGCATTTCCATCCACTGGCAGGGACTCAGACTCGGACTGCAGGACGGAAGTGGTAAGGCTATCCACCAGGTTAAAGGTGGTATCGCCAATCATCTCCTCTCCCAGGATCATGGTACGCTGCAGGGCAGGACAAAGTGCGGGCATCGCAGCGGGCATTGTTCGATCCGCGGCCAACGGAATGGACATGCTGTCTGTGCTGTTGTCCATGGTGCTGCAGCCGGAGGCGGTTTTGCTCAGCGTCAAGGATATTTCGTCGATCTGACCGATGTGCGAGTCCTTAATTAGGGTGCCATCTTCCTCGCACAAGGTCAACGACTCCAGCGCCTTGCGATCCCGGATCATGTCACTAAGCGTGTAGCCGCCCATTCCCATGTTGTCTGTCGTCTGGTCGGTAAGTGTGGTGGTCAGGCTAGGCTCCTGCTCCAGGCCGATTGTGGATTGCAGGAAGTTTAGGTTTGTAAAGTCTGCCGACGTGATCAATGAGTTGTTCATCCGTTCCGTGTTCATGGAGGAGCATATGGAAGACGGTGGCGATGTGTCTTGCAGGAAGGATTTGTGCATATTCGTGGTGACCAGGCCGCCGATTTCCAGCTGAAGCATTCCCGGGGTACCCGAAACCGATCCGGTTCCAACTCCGCTATCATTTCCTGCTCCATTTTGGCTCTGCAAAATTTGGGGTCATCATTATTATAAAAAAATACTTTCAGTTTTCGACTTTTACTTACGAAATCCAGATTCCGACGCTTGGGGCGGGTAAACGTTTTCGAGTTGTGTTTAAAGGCTTTTGTTAAAAAATAAAAGTTGAAAATAAATTAGATTCTTGAGTTTCGCACTCGGTGAACTATCGACTTATGAAAATATGGTGTCTTAAACCTATGAGTATTTAGCTTTCTTATTGCTATTTTTTTTTGTATTGTTTTTGGATGTAAAACCATTAAAAATCATCGCCTCCGATTAGGACATCCTCATCGATGACCAGTTCAAAGGCATCCTCATCAGACATCAAAGTGTCCTCGATCTCCTGTTCCAAAGTATCGGTAGGATTGGTAACTAATGGACCGATGGCAACCAGTGGTGGCATATCATCAAAGTTCTCGCTAGGAAGAACGTCCATCTTGGAACCCTGCAAGGACATACTCTCCACCGCCTGGTACAGGGGATCCATATCTTTATTCAAAGAGGAGACGGGGGATGCTTTCTTCTGAGCCTTTGTTTTTATGGTTATCCCCTTAACGGCAGGACGGTTAACTTTTTTTGGTACCAAGGCAACCTTTTCTATCTTGGTTACTTCTGGTTTAAATTTAACGGGCTCTTTCTGCTCCGACTTCAGCGAAATTATGCAGAGCATGTCGTTAGTTATTAGCCATCCTGGGCTATTGAGAAGACGCAGTACAAAGGTGCGCTGAAAGTGCCTCGGTTCCCAGCCATCGGAGGTGATCTCCTTAAAGTATCCGGTCAGAGTAAAGATGCGCAAGCTCGCGGTGAACACGTGGATGTCAAGCCCAGCGTTCTGGTGGTCCGTCAGCATTGAAGGCAAGCGGCTCAAGGCGAGAAGCAGTGCAGCGTTGTCCACCTGCAGCTTGGCATTGTGAGCAAAGGATGAGTAGTGGCGCTTCTGGTTTCTATTGTACATTTTGTAGGCGGACACCTTGTCCAGTTGACCGGGCACGCTTAGCGAGAACATAGCGTGGTCGTCGTAGTACTCCTTAAGTTGGGAGCGCTGTTCGGGATCATCAAAGAAATTGTAATACGAACTGATAAAGCCGTTGCAGAACTGAAGGCCCTTGGTTCCTTCACCCTGATGGCGTTGATACTTGGGAAGATTTTCAGCGACCTTTATATTTTCCTCCGGGTGCACGCAACCATGAACGTTTTGCACCTGGGGCAGCGCCTCTCGAATCTCCTCCGCCTTGAGCTTGGCCACACCGTTTCCGGCCAGGAACAGGGTCTTGAAACGCAGATTTTTCAGGTAGACCAGCTCGCCCAAATCATTGATTCTATTTGCGCTTATGTCCAAGCGCTCCAGGCGCGCAAAATTATGGGAAATACCGGCGAAGGCTTTTAGAGAGCACAAATAGTTGTTGCTCAGCACAATGCCGGCCACGTCGGGAAATACGAGTCCCGTGAGGACGAGTGCGCTCTCCAGGAGCTTGACCACATGCAGCGGACAGAAATGCAGGGCCAGCTCTGGGCTGGCGTGGAATCGGGAGAGATCTAGGGTGCGTGTGGCCAGTTCATAGCGCGATTCTATGGCCGCCTGCATGGCAGTAGTGAATCCCTCAGTTATCTTGGCGTTCATCACGGATTTGGGCAGACCTGGAGTGACCTGCATCTCGATCTTCTGGCATGTGTAGAGTACGGCCACCTCCCCTTGCAGGCGCTTCAGGCGATTGGCGCTAAGCTGGCTGTCCACCAGGAACTGGCCACGTGCCATCTGGTCCTCCGTTCCGCTGCGCTTGAAGTCGAATATCTCCACCTTGACGGGCATCAGCACCCATTTGAGGGCCAGAAAGATGGACGCATTGGAAACGCCGGCGCAGTTGGCGATGCTCACCGTGGACCAGCCGGTCACGGTGGCCAGGCGGTGCTTCTCCTCCTCGGTGGACGAGATCGTGTCCAGCACGGAGCCCATGTGCTTCTCGTCGCCGAGCAGCTTTTCTACATACTCGCGAATTCGGCCCTTGTCGTTCAGATTCTTCCGCAGATCGGTCAGCTGCGATTGCGAATTCGCGTGCGTCTTGATGGTCACGCTCAGTCGGTTGACCGCAGCACAGGATTTCTGAGTCCTTGGCATAGCGGCAGTTTCTTTTAATTATCAGAAAATAATTAAACTTCGCAGTAAGTTTCCACGAAACTCCGTCCAGAAAAAAGTGCCGTTTTATCAGTGTTGGCAAAGCAGGACGCTTTGGCAGGTGGAGTTTTGCAACACTGCACGAGTTTCGTTTTGGGAATGTGACTTTACCGTTGTGATCACAATATTATTGTGAGCCGATATCTTATTCATAAAACTAATTCTTAACTTTGATAGGATCTTGATTAATAAACCAATAATTGTTTCTTGCTCGCCAACGTAAATTTTTAAGCAAAGGAGTACTTATTTACTTACTTAGTAGTACTTAGTACTTATTTAAATTTAAAGTAGGTTTTGAACTCTGAATTCCTATGCATTTGTAAGGTTTAAACTTTAAACTGACGACAAATGCATTGAAGTGGTAAGTAGTGGAAATAGATATGACCTTCCTAATTAAATATTTTTATCGCGTTCGATGTGGTTTATAAATTGATGGCTTTAAAACTATTATTCTAAACAGAGACATTTACAAATCTATCAGGGTATTCCCTAAACTGTTAAATTTGAAAATTCAACAAAAACTTTCAGCAATTAAGGGAACGACCCAAAATGGGTCGTTTAGGGAATACCCTGCCTGTATATTTGAAGCGGTATTATTATTTTAGCGTGAACTTTGCTCTTGTGATATTTATTTGTTTTTTGTTATTTTAATTTTATTTTGTTGACAGGCTTGACCGTAGATTCTTGATGAATGTGCCAAAATGCGCTCATTCCTGTTCGAAAAATCATTATATAGAGCTCGGCATGACAGCATTTGGCACGCATTAAATCACGCAATCGATTTTTGATCCTCGTCTCCAGTTCGGTAATTGTTATATTTAAAGTGATTTGCGTATCGCTTGATTGACTTTCGCTGGCTGGGCAGGAAGTAAATTGGATTTATATAATGCTTGGATATTATGCGAGATTCTTGCCATATTAGCATAGCCAGTTTTTCCTTTTTTTTTGCCGTACCACGCACAGCTGTTGGAAACGAGAGCGTGTGTGTGTGTGCCTTTGAGACTTGATTAATTACCGTAACAATAACATTGGCGCTGCTGCCAATTATGGCCAACGGCCACTTGGAAGACAACGGTAAGTGCCTGGCCAAGTAATATACTGCCCACATGCGACCCGAACTTTGTCAACGTAGCCGCCAGTTTAACCCAAATTTGTTTTTTTAGAAAGCGCAACTGCATAAAGTGCTGCACATGTGTGTGATTTGATTGGGACTGTGTTCGTGAGTGAGTGTGGGTGCATCGGTATGCGTGGAAAGGCTTACCCTCGTTGTTGTACTGCAAGTGCAACTGCAACGGCGGCTGATTGTTCGTCTTCCACTGCTGCAATATGTTGGAGACATCGTCGTGGGTCTTATCCGCCAGAAATCTGCCAAAGGAGTACCAGGCATATGAGTATTTATAGCATCGCTGCCTCCGCCTGTGCTGTGCCAGAGTACCAGTCCCAGCAACAACAACACCAGCGACACAGAAACAACAGGAGTGCATCACTCACATATATGAATCATCCTTTAGTGCCTCATCGATGTCCAGGATATCCATGTCCAGCGATCGGATGAGTGAAACTCTACGCTTAGCTTAAAACACTTGGGTGAAGACCTAAATCATTGCGAGAATCGACAACAAAAAGGCCTTCGTTCGCTCGTCTGTTTGACCAATACAAGATAATTTTGCTCAAAGCTGATAGAGATGAGCGATATCCGCGAGTCCGTGACGAGTCACGGGTATTTTTAACCCATGAGTCACTGCCGTGACGGTGAAAGCGAAAGGGAAATGCGTAAGCAATGGCAAAAGTGGCTGAATAGAAAAATAAACTTAAACTAAAATTTATTAAAATTTTACAAATTATCAATGACTTTAGTTGAGTGTACAATATTTATTTATAGATTTGAATTTAGTTGACGTAGTGCCAAGACTCGTTGATTGCATTTATGTTTCTATAATGAACTCTTGTATTTATATTTAAATGCCTGAAACTATTTTTGAACTTTTAAATCTGATCAGTGATCACTGATCACTCTTTTGAACAGCGCAGATCTGTTCGCAGTCACACTTTCCCTCACGACGTTATTAGGGATGCGACATGCAGCGACTGAAACTATCGCCAATCATCGCAATTGGCTGACAACCCTGCTCAAATACGTTCACATTGACTATTTGGCATAAAAGTGCCCAACATTTCTTGAAATTTTTGAAATTCCGGCCTTTTGCGGTTGGAAAATCATCATAAAAAATGGAAAAATCGTCGGACGCCATCGCGGGAAAGAACTGCCGAGCGTGCGCCGAACACTCGGCAATTCTGGTGGACCTCTTCTCAACGGACATTTCCGATCCGCCTATTTGGGAAATGCTGAACTCCTTTCTCCCCGAGAACTGCCGCGTCAACCGGGATGCAATGCCGCAGAAGATCTGTCCAACCTGCCTGGTGGCCGCCCAAAATGCCTTTTACTTCAAGAACAAGTGCGAGCAGAGTTTCCAGTACTTTACGCACCTCCTCTCGCTGGACAAATCCGCCACAAATCATGGTAAAACTCGGGGCAGAAGAGGTGACAAGAATCCACTGAAAACTTTCGAAATGGTCGGCTGCGAGGATCCGCTGGACACTAATGTTTCTGGAAAGGAGGTGGATCGGCTTGATCTGAAAACGGGTAATGATTCCGAGCTGGCAGATGGATTGCTAACTACAGAACAGGAAACCCAACCGTTGCATGAAGTATTTGAAAGTAGGTCCACCGGAACTGAGCACTGAAAACCAGCTAAAATATTATTATTAATATTTCAGTAACTTTGGGAGATATAAAAACAGAAGAAGAAATTTCCAACGATGAGACATTCGAAGATGCTTTCGCAGAGGACTATAATAATGATGATGAATCTGAGAGTGAGTCTGATGAATGGTCAGAGGACGAAGACGAGCCCTGGATGACAGGCAAAGGAGAGCCAAAAACGGATGGCGACGAGAATCAATCGCTGCTGTGCACCGAGTGTGGGGTGACCTATCCGACAGAGAAGTCGTTGGCGAAGCACATTGCCAGGCACCGGGCGCAGGATGATCCACAAAAGCCGCACCTGTGCGACTTCTGTGGCAGAGGATTCCGGACGAACGCCCAGCTGACAACCCACAGGCGCAAGCACACCGGAGAGCGTCCATTTCAATGCCCCCTCTGCCCGAAAGCGTATACGCACGGTCCAACTCTCAAGTCGCACATGCTCACCCACGACGAGCAGAAGGCCCATAAGTGTCCGGAATGCGACAAAACCTTTTACACTAGGGGCAACCTGAGGGCCCACATAAAGCGGCACTCAGGCGAAAGACCATATAAGTGTCCTGATTGTTCACAGACCTTCACGAAGAACTCGGGCCTTAAACTGCACAGTCGGCTGCATAAGGAGGAGCGTCCCTTTAAGTGCGACCTGTGCGGCAAGGGATTTGTCCAGAACCAGCATTTAATCACGCACTTGCGGGTCCACAACGGGGACCGCCAGTTCAAGTGCCCCGACTGCGACAAGCGCTTCTTCGAGAAATCCAACATGATGAAGCATCAGCGCACGCACTCGGGCATAAAGCCATTTAAATGCGCCGAGTGCGGCCAAGCATTCTCGCACAACCATCATCTGAAGAGTCACCTGCGCATCCACACCGGAGAAAAGCCCTACAAATGCGACCAGTGCGGCAAGGGTTTCTGCGCGAATCAGTCTCTTGCCAAACATATCCTCTGGCATGTGGAGAACAACGATCGGCCCTTCAAATGCACCAAATGCCCCAAAGCCTTTGACTCACAGCAGAGTTTACGGGGCCACGACAAGGCGCACAGAAAGCCAGAAGGACCGAAAACACTGCACCAATGCCCACACTGCGACGTCAGCTTTGCCATAAAGAAAACATTGGACAAGCATATTAGTAGTCATAAGATTCGGCCCCACCCTTGCCCGCATTGTAGCGAAGGATTTTTCTCCCTGAAGAGCTTAGACAGACACCTTAAAACGCACAAAACGAAGGAATAAAAGTTATTTTTCCATTTCATGTGCAATTGTATCATACTACCCCTTGTTCAAAGTTTCGAATCTATAAGAAACAAATTGCAATCAAAACATAAGACCATTAGGAAACTTACTATAAATTTTAATAAGTTTTTATTACAAATATACCTAAGAAGTTGTTTAAAGAGAAAATTAATTTTAAAAAATATGATAAACAATAAGGTTGTGGTATATTCGTAAGTTTATTGGTAAGTTATGTTATTTAAACAATCTAAAATTTCATTGTCCGTTCATTAAGGCAAGTTTTGTCTGTCGCACAGTTTCAACATTTCCTGCGCCCTTCCGATTGCCAGCATGATGAATATTTCTATATGCTATAACATAAATGCCTTGCTTACATATTATACTTGCTTACGTACAGATTTTGATTTCAATTTCACTTTGATTTTGATGAATCGCAAGAGTTTCTCCCGAGGAGTGGAGGCTTTTTAAGCCTCCAACATAAAGGCGCGATATGTTTTTTGTTTTTTGATTATCAGTTAACAGTTTAGACCTAAACGGACCCAACAAGTAATGCCAACGGTCCCGATGAAAACGTAAAAATTTCTTCAGCTATTCGGTGTTACTTGTGGGGTCCATAAGAGGGTTTAAGAACAATTCTGGACAAACTAAATAGAGAGAAAGAGGGGCAAAGCGTTTGCTTAGACGATTTGTGTTTAAACATAGGTACGAGTACGGTTACATTACAGTAATTACAATAGGTACAATAATCATATCGAATATGCGGTAAGTGTTTAAAATTAATAAAGCGTAATTAGATAGATTTCACTACGAACAGACGAAGGGCGATGCTGCCAGTATACAAATAACAATAAAGTACAATACCTATAATGCCTAGGCGCTCCGATTTGTGTGTGTTGTTTGTTGTGTACAAATATAAATATTAAAAATATATAGATCCGTCCTACATTAAGAACAGGAGGGTGGCGTAGACCTTCCAGCGGGTAGTGAGGTTCGTCCAATTACCGCTGAAATAAGCTCCAGAGCTTGTAGCTGGTCACCCGCTTGGCCAGATTGGCGGCGGCGCTGCTGGGCGGCGATGGGGCGGATGACTCGGCGGCCATCGCCCGCCGGTTGTTGATCAGCTTGGAGCGCATCTGCTCGTCGATCAGCTCGTGCATGTCCATCTGCCACTGTTCCAGCTGCTGGGACAGCTCCACCTTCTGCTGAATGGACTCCAGGAGCTGGCTATTGGCCTGCATGAGCTCCACCCGCGTCTTGGCCAGCTCCACCTCGGCCTTGGTGCGGCGATCATTCGCCGCATCGCGCTCCGTCTGTGCCTTGGACAACAGCTCATCTCGATCCGTGTTGTCCTCCAGATCACCCCGCGCCTGATCGCGTTCCTCCTTGACATTCTGCAGCTCTACGTCCGTCACCGTGACCTTGGCCTCCAGCTGCTGGATAAGCTGGTGACTGCGCTTGATCTCGTCCTCCTGCTCCAGGACCAGGTTGCGCGTCTGGTCAAGCATCTTTTTGAAGTTGCCGGCGTCCAGGTTGAGCAACAGCCGCGTCAGTTCGTCGGACATGGACGAAAGCATCCCTTGGCGGAACTCAATGGCCAGGTGACCGTCCTCGTGGCGCTCCGAGCTTGAAATGGTGTTGTCCATCGACTCCAGCTCCAGCGAAATGTCCGAGTTGAGACCTGCAAAGAGGATTTCGATTTAAATAATAAGACATCTATTGTATTTTGGTAAAGGATTTTTACTCCGATTTTGTAAGCAAATTGGAAAACTATATTAAAGTGTTTAGCTCAAGAAAAAAACATGTTTTAATACAGAGATAGCCACAAAAATATATATTAAATTTATGATGTTAAAGATACATGTTCTGAATACATCCATATAGTTTTAAGTACCCACCTGAATCGTCATCGTGGCTCACTTTCAGCGAATCCACGAGGGACTTAAGTTGTATATATACGGATCGGGCCTCCACCCACATATGATTGGGCTTCCCCGTTTCCGTATAGCTGCCATCGTCCTCGTCGCATTCCATTTCGAACTGCAGACTTTTCCTGCCCGGCGTGCTCGAGTTTGTGTCCTACGGGTGAGGATTTGAAACGGATTGGGATTATAAATCAAAGTTGGACTAAGATTCACGGCGAGTATCGATTGATGTAAAGGACAAAGGCTTGTTGATAATGTTAATTTTAAAAATATCCTTCTAAGCTGAATACGAATTTAGATGAGGTTAGTTATACATACATCCCTGAGGAGGGCATAATGTTTGGTTAGTAAATGAGGAATTATTGAGTTGAAGGAATGGACAACTTACGGCACCCAAACGTTCACTGAGTACATTGTTTTCGCGCTGGGAGCGTTCCAGTGCTTGTAAGGTGGTCTGTAAAAGGACAAAAGTATTCAATTTTAAAACGTTGGATATAATGCAAAGATAAATTATAGTAGAAAAATGTATAATAAAGTTTTTTACCCTTTAGCTACATCTATTGTTTTAATTTCCAAATATATTTAATCATGTCAATATGTTTTTTTCGTATAAAATTGATTAGATACCTGGCTTTGAGCCTTCGTTAATGAATCCATGTTAGGAAATATTTATAGAATGGAGTTTAATCTTTGCTCATGACAGAGAAAAAAGAAAGTTGTTGCCGGGGAGATAAACCTGGAATGGGCACTCAAGAAACTGCGCAGTTGGCTCCGCTGGCCCATAAATAATCTTCAGTTGGTGGGTAAATCACGATTCCGTTGACGCGACGTGATAAAGCCAAATTCTGATTTTCCTCCTCCGCCACCTTTTCTTATTAAACCTCTAACTGTAGCTGACTTACCTCTAATTTTGTTTCCTGCTCGCGAGCATGGCGCTCCAGCATGTGAATTCTGTCGGAGGACTCCTCCAGCGATGAGGTGAGGCTCTCCTTCTCCTCCTGGGCATGTTGTAGGCGGCGCTCGAGCTCCTGACGTTTGCCCGTTGTGAGGTTGAGCTCCGTTTTGATGGACTCCAGGCTGTTGACATGTTCCTGCAGAGGGATCGGTTTAGGGTTAAAATCAGGGACCGAAAATATTGAATTTTTTTTTTGAGTAAAAAATAAAAATCTCCATTTCATGATTATTTTGTAAGCGAAAAAATAATGATTATTTTATGAGCGATATATTTCGCTTCTACGCGGAATTTCACAAAGATTTAAATGTGCTCTTGTAGGTAGAACCACGGAGCACATATTCAGTTAAGATGAAAAAAATTGTTCGTTGTGTAAACCGCTTAAAAAAAAACAAAAAAAACTTTTTGTATAAAAGAAGACTTTCTGTGGGAATCGAACTCGTGCTTACAGCTCGGTGGACCAACACACTAACACCCAGCCCACATGTCGGGTTGAATCTAAGTGGAATAGTTCATAACATCTTGTTAAGTCGTTTTACTAATATATAAATGACATAAAGTCCTAGGGTTGATACAACTTTTTGTATTTATGCATACCTCTTTTAAACTAAAAACCGCGTTTCAAAAAGTTTATACAAAGAAATCACCTTCTTTTTTAACTCGATGTGTGCTCCGCGGTTCTACATACAAGCACAACTTTAAAACTTTGGACAATTCCGTACAGAACGGCTGCAATCGCATTTTGAGTGATATTTTTAAGCGAAATAAAATCGCTCTCATAACAATCATTATTTCTGAACGATATTTTTTTTCGCTTAAAAAATAATCATTAAATGCAGATTTTTAATTTTTCACTTATAATGATTACGGTCCCTGGTTAAGATAAAATATTTTTATACTTTCACCAAAAAGATACACCCAAAAAAATAGATATATCTATATTCATATATGAAAGTAGATCGATTCTACATTATTTAAGAACAATTTTAGTTTGATATGCGGCCAGGTAAATTTAAACTGGTCGAAAAGAGTATTTCATGTATACATGTTTTATAAAAACGATATGGGGTTGGCATGACTTGAAATTTACATGGCCATATCGATTTGTGTGTGTATGGTTTGTATAAAGAATAAGGAAAAATTTTAAGTTTTATACTTAATCTTGGTTGTGTTATTTATTTATTTCAAAACCTACCTGCAGGCTGCTGTTCCTGTAGTGATACTGGTCCTTCAGCTCCTGGATCTGTGCGCTGAGCTTCAGCTCGGTGGCGTGGGCCTCCTGGATCTGTTCGGTGAGGCGTGTGTTCTGGTGCTGCAGCTCGTCGATCAGGATGGTCTTCTCCTTCTCCGCCTGCCTGATGGCCGTGTCCTGGGTCTGCAGCTTATCCTTCAGCTCGGTGAGATCGGACTGCAGTTCGAGGACGCGCTGATCGCTCTCGTCCTCGGCGATCGCCAGCTTTTGGCGCAGCACATGCTTCTCCTGCTCGAGTTTCTGCAAAGGGGCAAACAAAAAAGGAAAGTTAATTGTGTGTGCATTTGGCGTATTGTGGGTTCTATGACGTGCCGTCAATTATATGGCAGTCAAGACAATGAAAGTAAAGCCAACAATGGGCACGTACACAGTCACAGTACTCGACGCCAGGCAAAACCGCAAGGTTAACTCAGCTCTCAGCACTCGACTACTAATTGTTTAGTTATTTGCATTTTCAATTGGCTGCAGGCCGGCAAAGATGCAAAAATAGAAAAATAACAAAAGAGTGCTAGTACCACCTCTCACTTAGTTTGCCTTTTGCACCAATTTGCCCCACTGTGCCGGCGGCCAAAAGACTCCCAAGCCCCCGAAACAATGCCAACGACTTTTGACACCAACGGCTGCAAAAGCCACCCGTCAAAAGAAACAAATTCCCATTATTAAAATTAAAATGCAATTGAATTTTCACTTCTCCGCTTTGCTGAGATGCGGTTTGCAGACAAATGGCTGGCGAAAAATTAAAAGCGCATCAGCCAGCGAGCGTTTGGGAGTTTTCAGCCAATTGTGGAAGCATTTGAATTTTAAGAGGATTGTAAGCATTCTTCATTGCAAGTACTTCAACATCATTTTCACCCGGCAGTAAAAAATTTTTAAGTTTATATTTCAATAATTTATTTTATTGCCAAAGCAATTCATTAAGAAGAGGTTAAATAATGTAGCTATAGCTTTTTATAATAAATGAGTTTTAAATTCATTTTTATTGCTATGCATTTTACGCATTTGTACGTGTGTAATTAATAGTTTATTTAAATTAAAATCAATT